GACATTTGAATCCCTTGTGACGTACCTGGCTGGTCCAGGTAAGCTTCCTCTGAGACCGACGAGTCTGAGAAGGAGGAGAGGTCCTGATGGTCCTCCGTTTCCTCCCGATGCCTCGTTCTAAGTCCCAGAGGCTTGGCTTTGGAAGTTTGAGCCCTGGCCTCAAATGCACGGTCCACTGCCTGTGCTATTAGGGTAGCTAGCAGATCCCCCGTCAATGCAGGAGGAGTAACCATTGCCTGTGACCCTGCAGGTGCTGTGGTTAGCATGGTCCTCGGGGTTTCCTGTAACCTCCGTGGGGAGGGGGATCGGGAGAGCGATGAGAATTCGCCTATCCCACCCTCTGTTTGGGGCTGTGATGAGTTCCCTAATGACCAAATGGCCCATGGGGATGAAGGGAGACCCAGCGGTAGATCAGGACCTATCCCCCCATTCTGCCTATTTTCAATTCTGGCCCTTTTCTGGGCTCTGTCAAACTCTTTTTCTAGGGCTTGGTGTCTTCTGATTGCCTGTTTGTCAGCCTTCTTTGATGACTTCCTTGCAGCCTTTCTAGGGGCTGCAGAGGATTCGGAATCCTCTGAAGCGGGTGCTCCAGAGGATGAAGGCAGGGCTCCAGTGGAGGGAATGATTGCTTCCTCCATTCTCCACTAACGCCGGGCCGTGATAGGGGGGACCCAGGTAGTAGGAGAGCTCCAACTTTGAGTAAGGACAGGCGCACTACTGGGGGCGTCTGGAACTCAGGAGCAGACTCTGCAAAATTGTCAGAGTTAGTCACTGTGCACGGATAAGAACAGGCACGCTAATGGGAATGCCTGGAACCCGGCTTGACTATGGTGGATAAGGACAGGCACGCGACTGGGGATGCCTGGAACCCACCACTAAATCCAGAAGCGTACGGGCCACTAATGGGGGACCCGAAGTCCGGAAGGAGCCAAAGGCAACTAAACACAGTTAGTTATGAAAGGTTCTTATTTACTTTAGATTGAAGACACCAAGTCCTGGAACCAGCAGCTATGTGTCTGATTTGAATGTCTCTGAATGAATAATAGATGCTTTAGTACCCCAGTACTGCTTGTAGATGCTTTAGTACCCCAGTACTCCAGCGGCTGAACCTAGGCTTCTCAGGGAGCCTTAGATCCCCTGTTTGGACAAAAATATGGCCGCCGCTGCCAGGAGACTACTGCACATGTGTTAAAAGGAGCAGGAGATTATTGCGCCTGTGCTAAAAAGGCTGCCTGTGCCACGTGCGGCTGTAACAAAGAGCCGCGCGTGCTCCCAGCTGTGCAGACAATGGCGCCTCGTTTAAAAATCCTGAGCAGCCTGGTGAGTGAAAGAGCTGCTCCTTCGCACGCCAGCTGTTTCCCTTAATCAATCTCCCTCCCAGCATGCGTCCCCTTTGTCCTCCGCTCCCCTCGCTAATTGCTTGCCTTTCTGTCTTTCTTTCTTTCTTTTTAACGCGAGGGGTTGCACGAGCCTCCCGTTTGTTTAAGGTGGCTACCGGCTGCTCCGGCTGTGGGAAGGTGGTTGGGGTTTGGGTTAGGGAGGGGAGTTAGGGATTTCCCCCTTTTAAGTGAGAGTGGTTTCCCCTGTAGGGAATCTGACTTCCTGAGTCTTACAATTTAGCCAGGAAATTTTTGAGTAATCAATTAAATTGAATTAAATTATCTCTAATTAACTTTTAAACTAAGCAATTTCAGCTACTAGAAGAAAATCCCCCCCAATGGAAAGGAACTATACCTCCCAGGAGCCAAAGTTGTATGTCTTTCTGTGTGGCCAGATCAGTCAAGACTGGAGAATCATGGTCCAGGACAGGGCGTGGCAACTTTGGCTGACTGATCTGATTGGCCAGGAATACAGTCTCAACCCACTGCGTGGATTATCCATCTCCAGTGCTGGAGAATTGCTTGATTTAGTAAACCATCTACATTTCCATAAATGTTTCATCTCTTTTAGCAAAGAGCTTTTGAAAAGCAGAAAAACCATAAAGAATGTAGTATTCAGCATCACCACACGTATAGATAATACAGATCCACATTTCAGCCCTCTTTCAATGCCCATATTACTAACCACAACTAGACTGTCCCCAAAGGAACAGGAATTGAGTTCTAACACTCCATATCAATCTTGCCCACAGTGAAAATAAAGCATAGCATAGCGTAGTATGATGTGTGAACCTAGCCTATTGTTTCATCTGTTTCTTAAGTAAGAAGCTACTATAATTCATGCAAAGCAAAGCAAAGCAATATGCAGTATGGTATACTGCCACACCATACCACAGTGGCTCTCAACCTTTTTAAAGCCGCGACCCCCAACCGGTCATAAGTCGAGGACTACTCAACCGGTCATAAGTCGAGGACTACTCAACTGGTGCAGCACCGTTTGCAGAATGGGACTTTTGGCGGACTCAGCAGGGCAGAGACAAGCTGGACAATTCCTATTGGCTTTTGAAAGCCAATAGAATTAGACTCTATTCAAGAGAGTTTATTCTATTGGCTTTCAAAAGCCAATAGAATAAAAGGGAGTAGCACAGCTAAGGAAAAGGGGGAAAAAAATGGTGGACTGCGTTGTTTGGTGACCCTCGTGAAATGGTCATTCGACCCCAAATGGGGTCCCGACCCACAGGTTGAGAACCACTGCCATACCATATACACACCCTAAAAATTAAGGTGACCAACTTTTTTACAATGAAAAGGAGGACACAAATAAATTGAAGAAAAAATATCGTAAATAAAAGAAACATTTTATTCATTGCAACAATAATACAGACAACTTGCATGTGCAAAGTTTGTCAGCCTGGTGTTTTGGCACACTCAGCAGCAATTCCTATTGGCTTTCAAAAGCCAATAGCAGGAGTAGCACAGCACATGCAAAAATTGAAAAAAAACCATCAAAAAAAGGTGCCGGAACACCATTCTAAGCGTTCTATGAGAAAAAAAAGCCCTGCAGATTAGTCTTCAAATATCAAAAAGAAGGACATGTAGGAGGACACTTTTCAAGGGAGGACAGAACTTACAAAAGAAGGACTGTCCTCCCTAAAGGAGGACGGTTGGTCACCTTATAAAAATGCATGCCACCAAAGGACTTAACTGACACAAGAAAACAATATGCTAAACTGCACCTATATGTAGTAGATATCAAGTCCATCAAAACATCAAATAAATGGAAAAATTAAAACACTGAACCATTCATATAAATACAGTAACTGATATAAAAAAAGCAATCAACGGTAACAGAACTAAACTGAATTATTAACGTTCACTACATCCTCACTTATTTCTTACTAAATAAAACTGATAAATAAAATAAATCAGTCAATGTCCTAATATATTGCCAATAATAGGCTAGGCATTCCTTCAGGTTGATGTAAGACAATGAGAATGCTACAGAAATCTACTATATAGTAGACAAAGGGACATTATAAAGAAAGAGTTCTATCCTTGTGCACAGGAAATTTAAATCTAGAAAATGGAAAGCAAATCCTATAATATAACCTAATATTTATAATTGCACTAAAGTAACCTTTCCCAATTTAGTATAATCCCAACATAACAGTAATGTAATTCTTAGCAATTATATAATTTTGAAACTATGGTACCAATATATCTATGTGGCACAGATTGGCAAAATACTGCAGATCAGAAAACAGCTTCCACTAGCCTTGCTTTTAACTATATAAATTACTTGAGAATTATAGTTTATATTAAACTAACAATTACAAAAACCAGCTTCAGAAGTTTGAAACTGACCTACTTTAACATAACTCTCAATTTGCATAAAGAAGACAATTATCCTCCCCCCCCCCCGTTAATATACTAAAGAAAGGAAGTTTATGAAGTCAGCAGAAGACCTGCAGAGATTCTTTCTATCTGCGTATGCTATATTAAGCTATGGTTTAGCATGATGTACAAATGAAAGCATCTTTAACATTTAATTAGCTTTTTCCAAACATAATTCAATGCTATAAATTTGAAGTTACAGATCCTGATCTATCACAACCTTGGATCATCTTTGCCTGGTTCAAAAAAAATAGTATAAAAGAAAATAGGAATTTAAGATTCCATACATATTTCCAATCAAAATTAATTTTCTTTTTTACACCACTTCCAACAATAAACTATCAGAATAAGAATCCTGGTGGCACACTGGTTAGAATGCAATACTGCAGGCTACTTTGGCTACTTGTGCTGACTGCCAGCTGCCAGCAGTTCGACAGTTCAATTCTCACCGGCTCAGCTTTCTATCTTTCTGAGGTCAGTAAACTGAGGATCCAGATTGTTGAGGGCAATATGCTAACTCTGTAAACTGCTTAGAGACAGGGCTGTAAAGCACTGTGAAACTATATATAGTCTAGGTGCTATTGCTATCAGAATGCATTGACAATACTTGTAGAAGTTATCTTTTAGAACTGCAATTCTTACTCCCAATTATCCATATGTCAATTACAGCAATAACATGAATGAAATCTAAGAATAGATTTGCCTCTCTTAGACTTCCATAACATAATCATAATAGTTTCAATTTTGATGCAAAGACCAGAAACTACAAGAAGCAACTACTCATGTTTTTAAGTGCTGGTAGAAACCTTTGGCATCTAGATTATTTTTCGATTTATAGCAGAAATTCAAAGAAAAAAAATGAAAGTTGCACTTTTACTCACAGGTTATTTTTCCTCTCTGAAGAGGGTAAGTAGGGGTGGAGATAGGAAGGAATGTAGCCATGGAATATATAAATATATAATATGATATTGTTCAAAGCAAAAATGGGTGCCCTGTCTAGTGTTCTATACTCTGAAATTGAAACTAGAACTAATTAAAACATCCAGGCAAAAATATAAAAGTAGAATGCTTACTCTTTGAAATGTTAACATTTCTAACATTGACTGATGAAAGAGAAACTGTCATTCATTCCCTGATAAATACAATTCATTTTCAGTATGCATATATATTGGCCAGTAGAAATAATTATAAATATGTTGTAAATTATACCAACTAATTCAGACTTACCACTCTAGCTGCTCTTTCCTGAGATTCACATTTTCTACAAAACCAAGGTCCAGTGGGTACTTGCACAATTCCGTAGCATGCTGTTTTGGGGACAAAAACCAATATATGCAAATATATTACTGACATATATATATATATATATATATATATATATATATATATATATATATATATATATATATATATATATATATATATGCATGCCTTGAGGAAGGCAAGTAATTTTATAAATATTAAATATATTTAGAAATCTCTTGTTAATTCTATTTAAAACGTTACAATTATTCTATGTACACTAATACAACAAGGTGTTTTACCTTGAAAGTTATTTTGATAAATAAACATTTTTGCCTTTAAAAGTCAATTTGATCAGTCCTTTTGTTAATAGATAGCACATAACAAATTCTAACTAAAGAAATAGCTTAAATCAAATCCTTGTCTCTAACTTATCCTAAGTTGCTTATTTGAGGATTCCCCCAACAAAGTGCTTATTTTTTTTAGATCTGTCTCAGCATATAACCTAATAACCCTTCCCTTAATCTAGTAATTTCTTAGGGATTTTTTGTTTCTGTTCAATTGTCTCCAATTCTCAGAAACTGCTGTTTTCTTAGCAAAATTTTTCAGAAGTGCTTTGCCATTGCTTTCTTCCTAGGGCTGAGAGAAAGTGATTGGCCAAAAGTCACCCAATTGGCTTTATACCTAAGTCACTGTCTCCTGGTTTCTCGCCTGATACCTTAACCACTACACAAAACTAAGAGTGAGAACAAGAAAGAGTATGTTGAAAGTCACCAGAATATTGTGGAGCTAAAATAGAGACAAAAGTTTAAATGGGTTATCAAACCTTTGTAAGGCTAATAAGGGATAAAACATTTAATTTGATGAATTAATTTTTAATCAAGCAATCTGGTATAAAAAGCAGAAGAAAAAACAGATGTGTTAGTTCCCAGATTTTCAAATTACATACAATATTGACTATTCTCAATTGTAGCTTTAGTTCTTTTTTTGCATCAATAACTATCATCTTTATCTACTAGTATTATGCTTATGTTTCTGATAATCTTATTAAACAATATTGCTTATGATTCTTCAAAATGCCTTGTATATATTAATCCCAAAATCTCATTGTACAACAATCAAATGTAACAAACCTATATTCATACATATCTTCTACCTTCCAACTAGCTACTTAGAATTCCATCATTATTATAATACTGTTCCATTAATAAGTGTATTACAATAAAACTATTGTAATCAATCTATTGGTGCTACGACAAAATGCTATTCCCAGTACTAAGAAACAGGTTATTCCACATATACTTCATCACAGTTCATCATGAAATTAGCATCTGCCAATTTTATTTATTCCTTTTAGGCTTGGATATACATCAATAGTTTAGTTTTTTGTTTTAAATTGAATATAGGTGTGTGTGTGTGTGTGTGTGTGTGTGTGTGTCTGTGTCTGTGTCTGTGTGTCTGTGTCTGTGTCTGTGTATAAATACTCTGAAATTCATGTGCCACTGGTATAACTGAGTATAGGAATCACTAGTGTGAAGATTATGGAACAAAGCGAATTAACTGTGATGAGACTAAAAACATCCAGTTTAGTTATACCAATGGCATCTTAGTACTCAACATTAATTGGTTCCGGGAGGTGCAATGGGTACCAAAAATAATGAGAGCCAAACAAACTTTTCCCATAAGGAATAATGTAGTGAGTCAAAAGGCAACTGACAACAGATTCTAGTTTGTGAGTTGAATACCAAACAAACGATTAGGGACTAAATTTTTGCATCAAAATGTGTTGAGTACTAAATTTGATGAGTTTCAAAGTAATTGAGTACCAAGTTTTAATTTATCACTTGGCATCATAACATTTGAATCAAATTCATATTAATTTGAAAAAAATTGGAGAGAATTTATTTAGATTAACCACTACATTTTACATAACTTGTACAGTTGTATATACACTTCATATTACTTATTTTCATTTCCAGCTACCCTTCTGTTTATCTATAAGAAAGGTGGTCTGAGAGGCAGACTGATCCAAAAATAAGATTAATAAGTTGAGCATGCCTGCTTTTTGTAAACACAAATAATAAAATAACATCAGACATGACAATGACCTGGATTACACAAAAAAGTTAAAGTGCTTGTATCTCTACTGTTGCCTTCAGAAATCAAGAAAAACATTCATCTTTATTGAATATTTGAAAATAAAAACTGGACACATAAAGAATTAGGAAGTGGTCCAAGTTACAAAAGAAACATACAGACAAGTAGTCAGGAATTATAATATGGAATTGGTATCAGAAAACAAAAAAATAAATCAGAGAAGGATGCTATGATGTTTTGGCAGAATACGGAGTTATTATTTTTGAGAAATCCCAAAGAATTGACAAACAAAGAATTGACAAAATGTCAAATATCTGAAAAGCGGCAAATGCTACTCGCCATCAAAAGGGAAAAAAAGAAGAAAACTAATCTAGATCTGATAGCATATTTGAGTTCAATATCTGTTTAGTCTAACATCAACATCTGGAAAAAGTTTTTAAAATTATCATAAAAAGATTATTTTATAAGGTTCTTGAAAACTATGTAGCAATTATCAAAAGTTAGGCAAATATAAAAATTTAGATAAATGTAGAAAGGTAGACTGGGCAACTTCCTTAATAGATTATGGGAATTCTGTGAACATAATATAACATGATTTCAGCAAATCATTAAGATAAAATAACACGTGACATGCTGATGAACAACCAACGCATGATCATTATCATTATTAATCAGATATGTTACAGCTACCCCATTCTGGAAGCATGGGCTGGTTGGCATATAATTAAGGAGATACAAAGCTGACTCAAAAATTGTACTAAATAAAGCACTCAATGATTCCTTAGCAAATTGGATAGTGTATCTACTTTGACACCACAGAGGAAAAAAATTAATTTTGGCAAGTTAGGGATATTGGCTGAATATAAAATAATGAGAATTAACAAAAACAAGAACAAATTTCATCAGAAAAAAGATTATCTGCACACACATTGAATAGAGAATATCTGGCATGGTACATGTGAGAAAGTACTTGATAAAGTATTTAACTGCAAACTGAATATAAGCTAGTTGTGCGATATGGTTGCAAAAAAGTATAATGTAACCTTAGGGTGCACCAACAGAAATGTAATTTCTGAATCACAGCAAATAATCATTCCACCGTATCCTGCTTTACACAGGCACTACTTACAGCACTTGTACAGTTCTGGGCACATCACTTTAAGTATTTATAAAAATTGAAACAGATCCAGAGAAGGATAATCAGGGGAATAGAAACTGTTCTATGAAGAAAAACTGAAGGACTTGGGTAAGTTCAGCCATGAGAAAGCCAGCTGAGGGGTGCTGATAGCATTCCTAAAATACCAAAAAGATGTTACATAGAAAAAGGTTTGTTTTCTTTCATACCAGAGTACAAAATTTGCAATAATAGATTTAAATGATAGGAGGGCATAATTCTACTGAATGTTTTAAAAAAATCAAATAGTAAGGGCAGTTTGATAATGAACCTAATTATCCAGATAGGTTAATGGGTTCCTTTTCATTAGATGTGGTCAAATATTAGACTACACAGCTACCAATACTTTTTTGGGGGGGTTGCTGTAGTGAATAAGCGAATAAAGGCAATTACTTAAGCAATTCCTCCAAACTCTATGATTCTAAGCAATGGTAATCATCAAACAATCAAAGTCAATCCAAATTACCCAAAATTGTGTGTCACAACATATACTTGGGAAATGTCATAAGCAAAATGTCATTAAGATATGATAGAGGAGAGAATTCTGCCTATTCTAATTTCTGAACATTAAAATAACATTTTAATGTAATTGTGAGGCTTGCAGATGTCATCTTACAGCAACAGGTGTCAATTGACAACCCAAAGCCATACTCTATAGCAGGCATGTCAAACTCGCGACGTCACGTGACATCACGTATCACAGCTTTTTCTCCATTGCTGGTAATGGGGTGGGCTCGGTTTTGGGATGATGTGTCCGGCCCATGGGCCAGCAGTTTGATACCCCTGCTCTATAGCATAGGCAGATTGTTCTGAATTTCCATCTTTGCCAGTCATTCCATAATATTTCTGCAATCTTGTATTAACTTTCTTCCATTTCAAATTTCTTTAATTTTCCTATAATGGAAGATTAGAATATCAAAAGAAGGATAACTACTCGCCAATGATGAAATTCTTCCCTTCACCCATTAATTCCCTTAAGAAGAATAACTGATTCTTAAGATGAACTTTCTCAAAAAATCTCTCTTTGAAGAGCTACATCATAAGGGATTTTTAATTTGCATTCTCACTACAATGAATTCAATTTAATTCCCATTAGGAAAATCTTGAATCTTCCTGTAAATCATGAGAATCTTTTTGAAACCAAACTGAGGAATCAACTGAGCAAACACCTCAGGTTATTTTCTAAGGATACAAACTATTTGCAATTAAATTAATTGGAGTTATTAACTGGACTTATTTTGAAAAACCATAGAATACATATAAATGATTTTACAACATGAAATATTGTTGTAGTATGCAAAAAATAATTGAACACATAAAAATCAATTTATTGCATGCTTTAAGAGTAACTATCATCTTCATTGTATTTTCTATTTAATTACTCTCTAGTTCCTATCGTTTGATTTCATCTCAAATATGATGCATATTGCAAATTTACTATAATCAACGTATTAAGAAAATACAGTGAAATAAATGTCTCTATAAGAGAAAAACAAAAATCCTAACCATTTGCATCAAACATTGATATTTATGAAAAACGCAATACATTCTTCTCACATTAATCAATATTGAGAAAATCCCCAGCAATACATTTTAGGATAAAACTATTTAATTTTCATTCAGGTGAGGTAAGAAACAACCCTACATCACATTTGTATAAGGTCACCATTTCCTCATTTCCTACCATGAAATGTCATTCCATTAAAAATGTATAAGCTTTTGGAAAATTAATAAAGACTGAAATTTCAATATTAATTCCTTAACCTTGTTCATTATCAATACATTCAGTAATTTTTAAAACATTCTTCTACATCATTTATTTGGAAAATTTGGACTAAAAGATATATATATATATAAATTTGTTTGCAGGAAGAAAGGGATCCTGTCAAATGTTCTAACAAGACTTCCGGTGGATTAGCGTCGATGATGGCGGCTACTCTGTAGCCGTCCTCCTGGGAAAGCGTTAGAACTGCAGAGAACAGCAGGCACCAACTATTCCGCGGCTCAAAACCTCCCTCCCGGGCAAAGGGGGGAGGGGGGTATCACCTGAATAGAGGTAGAGCTTCTGAGACCCCCCAGGAAGTTTTCTTTGGGGGGTGAAAAGAGTGCTCCCTCGGAGTTCGGGTTGCCTCCGCCTCCCAGCTGTCTTTGTCCCTCGGGGACAAAGCAAGACGCCACTCTCACCTCCGCGCTTAAAGAGACCGGGTGAGTTATTTTTAAAAGCGGACAGAGCTGGATAAAGGATTTTTTTATTGGATTTTATTTGGACTTTAGTTTGAAAGGTTGATTTTTATTTCCCTTCTTTTTTCTCTTTTTTTTTGTGAGAGTGAAAGTAAAATGGCGATCGGAAAGTTTTTTTTTTAAAAAAAAGCGAGTGAAACGGAATGTAATGGACTAGATTGTTCTTTTTTTAAAATTTTTTTTCTTAAGGTGGATTTGTGTTTTGGGAAGATTCTTTTTTGTTAAACTCTCTTTTGCTATCTTTTTTCTTTTAAGGGATTTTTTTGTACTTCTAAAAAACAACGGAACGGATTTTTTTTATTTAATTATTATTATTATTTTTCTTTTCCTTTTTTTAATTTTTTTTTCTTTTTTATTATAAGGATCTCCTTTTGAAGGAGTTTTTGATTTTTTGGAGTCAATCTCCTTTTTTTTCTTTTTTTTGTTTAACTTTTCTTTCCCTCTTTTTTTTGGTAATTTTTAAGAAGGAGTAAAGATTTTTTAAGATGGCTCCAAAGCGTCCAGTAATTTCTACAGCTCCTAAGGTGGTTTCTTCTTCGGCGATATCATCAGTGCAACAACCTAAATCAATAGCTTAACCCTCTTCTTTGGCACAGTTATTAATGGTAAAGGATTTGCAAGACATAATAGGAAATGCTATATCTCAAATCAGGGGTGAAGTGAAAGGGATTTTACTGGAAAATAATAGGATTCTGAGGCAAGATATAGTTTTGGCTTTAAAAGGATTTGCCTCTGTTCTTGAAAAGTTGAATTTTCGTGTAGAAGAGGTTGAAGACAAAGTGGAGCTCTTGGAGGGAAAATTTGAAGGTATGGAAAAAGAGATGGAAAATTCTCAAGATGAGATTCTTATGCTTCAATATAGAGAAATGGAATATGCTTTAAGAATTAGAGGCTTGAGACAGTCTCTACAAGGAGATCTGAGACAGATGGTTGCAAATGACTTTGCTCTGATTCTGGACAGAGAAAAAGAGGAAATATTTAGTGAAATTGAAAAAACATTTAGAGTTAATTCTATGGTGGCAAAGCAAAGAAACCTGCCAAGAGATGTGGTTATTTATTTTGGGAAAAGATCCCTGCGCAATTAAATTATACAAGATTTTTACAATAAGAGGTTTCACATTGCTTCACAAGACGTTATAATTTTAAAGGAGATCCCATCTAAAATTTTAAAAAGAAGAAAGGAGTTTGCTTTTTTAGCAGATGAACTTAAAAAGAGGCGAATGGTGTTCAGATGGGACGTTCCGATTGGAATGGTGGTGAACTATCTGGGGATACGTTATAGACTTAATACTGTTTTCAAAGCAAAAGAGTTTTATACTTCGGTTCTGGGGGTATGTTCATCGCCATTTATTATGTCTAAAGTTTTGGAAGAGAAGAAGGTAGAATCGCAGTCTGAAGAGCCTATATTGATGAAAATTGGGAAATTTCAGACTGAGGGGTCTCAACAAGTTGAGATGAAGGAGCAGAGGATAACCTGTGTAACATATAAACGTAAAGAAAAGGAGCAACAGAAGAAGGATGTTAAGGAAGCCTCGCAAGTATTTGTTTCTGAGCCAGCGGGAGAAGCAAGATCTACAAACTTTTTGGAGCAACCTTTAAGGCCAGATTTCCAAGCACTTCTCTCGAGGTTTTTGGATAAGAGAGATTGATTAAGAATGTATAGATTGTTTTTAGGTTATTGATAGATCACAGTTCACTGTGGATGGAATTGGTTATTGGTAAAGAGGAGAGAAGATCATGGAGAATGAATGAAAATTTTAGATAAGAAGTTTAACTTTAGTAATTTAAGGAGTATTCAAAAGAGTATTTTGTTTTAATGGTATAACTAACGTTTATATGTTTATTTTTGTGTTTGATGATAAAGAAAGAGGGATAGATTTTATATAATATAAGTATGATATTTTTGTTTTAATGGTATAACTAACGTTTATATGTTTATTTTTGTGTTTGATGATAAAGAAAGAGGGATAGATTAGATTTTATATAATATAAGTATGATATTATGGAGATTGAATGAAACTTTTAGATAGGTAGTGTATGTTTAGATATCTAAAGAGCATCTAAAGGAATATTTTGTTTTAAATATGTATAAGGGAACTTTAATGTTATAAGTAATGTTTATATGTATGTTTTTGAGGGTGTTTATAAAGAATGATGGATAAACTTTAAATAATATAAGTATGACATTAGAAAATGTTTAGTTTTTTTTCTGAATAATTTATAAAGAGGAGAGAAGATTATGGAGATTGAATGAAAATTCTAGATAAGAAGTTTAAGTTTAATTATTTAAGGAGTATTTAAAAGAATATTTTGTTTTAATGGTATAATTAATGTTTATATGTGTACTTTTGAGTTTGATGACAAAGAAAGAGGGATAGATTTTATATAATATAAGTATGACATTATGGAGATTGAATGAAAATTCTAGATAGGTAGTGTATGTTTAGATATAATTTTTTTTGTTTTTTATATATTGGTCTTAAAGTATTTTATAATTTGTTTAATTATTGGTTAATTTATGGTTTACATGTGTTTAAAAATTTTTCTTTTAAGTTTTAATTAAGCCTGTATTCAGCTCTGGGAAGGTTGGGGGAGGGGTGGGGTGGGTTGGGAGGGTTTGGGGAGGGGAATTTTTTTTTCTTCTGTAAAATTTCAAAAAACTTTCAATAAAAAAATGTTCTAACAAGTGTTTTTAAAGCAACTAAATCCCTTATACCTTTTGTGATGTGATGTACAGTTATAAGTGACCCCAACTTCTTCCAAAAGTAAAAAAAACAAGAACACCAAGATACAGACAGATGCACACTGTGCTCGTTATAGTCAGCAAAACAGCAACACAGCTGGGCACCAGCCAATTGCACTCCCTCCAGTAATCCAAACAAATCTATCATCAAAGGCTAAGTAATTCTACAGCGGTCTTTTTTCTCCCTTCCTCCATCAAGCTCCTACCACAAACAGGAAGTCTTCCTATCCAGCTTAATGACACTTTGGCAAGCGTGGAAGAGAGGGAAGGGAAAACGGAGGGATGTCACATGATATCTAACGCTCCCTTGGACAAACATTTTACCTAGCTCCACGTCTCGTTTAAGAATAGAATTCCGCGTGAGGGGAGCAGCAAGCTTACTCTCGGCATGCAAACGGGAAAACGGATTCCAATTTTGGACACAGAGGCCGAAAATTGCAAATCGGTCTTCCGCTACGCTGAACTCTGCATTCGTGGACTATTTTGCTAACAAGCCAGCCCTTTCCCACCCTGCCTGTTTTCTAACCAGAGGGCGGAGGAAGGGGCAGGCACATGCAGGATAAGGAAGTAGCGACCTAAGACGGCACGCGCAACTGACTCGTGCAATTCCCGAACAGAAGGAAAACGAGCCTTTCCCAACTGTTGCACAACACACAACGTCCTACCATTGTTTTTGTTTTTTTCTTAACCCTAAAACAATGCCTGGGCTTGCGAGCAAAGGAAGGACAAGCCACTCAATCTTTGCTATCGGGCGGGGAAAGCAATAACGTGCATAGGCATACATACTCTGAAAGAACAATCGGGGCTAAGATGAGGCTGAAAGGTTGCGAGGGCGAAGGAGGAAGAGAAAGGCCGCAGGAAGCAGCTTGCCCATGCAAATGGACGGCGGAACGGGGGTGGCCGAGGCGGGCCCTCTCACTCACCTTGATGCACTGCGACATTGCAGCCATGCCCGTCGCAGTAAACCAGCGGGTTCTCGGCCCAGCCCCTCTCGTCGGAGCACACGCAGCAGCCGCCGATCATCTCCTTCATGCTATTGGAGAACTCGCCCTCCAGTGACACAGGCAGCAACAACGGCTCGCTAGAGACCATCTAAGGGTTAAAAACACCGTCAGCACGACACCACACACTGCCAGAGAGACCCCCGTGGCCTCCGCTGCCTTCTCCCCCACAGCACTCGGTTTTCAGTCACTCAGCCACCGCCGTCGCCAGTACCGCCTCCATAACAGGGATGTCGGACCCATGGCCGCTGGAAGCGGCAGTGGTGGTAGCGGCGAGAAAAAAACAGCGATGAAGAAGCTTCTTTTAAGTTCCTCCCGTGTATCGGCTCAGTCTTTCAGCTCACGCAACAGGAACGAAGCTGAATTTTAACGGCCAAAGTCGCGGCAAAAACCCTGCAGTCCACACAGCGAGGCAAGAAAGCAAGAAAGCAAGGCCCGCTCCACGCAGGCGCACTGCAAACCTCCCTCAGAGAAGGCCCAACGACGCGCCAGCGGCCGCAGAACCTAAGGCCTTTTTACTCCCCGGTCTTCTCTTCCTCTTCCTCCCCGCTCTTCCTCCCTCCACGCGAGAACTCATGGGCCGTCCGTAGAACGCGAGCGACCTTAATTCCCGTGTCGCACGCACGATGCCCGTGAGCCTTCCTCTTTTTTTGCCGTTTCCTAAGGATGCACATTCGGAGCGTGCGCGGGGAGGGAAAGAAGGGAGGGAGGCATGCACAGTCGCCCTCCCTCTTGTCTGAGGAAGTCATGCTGTGTGGAGGGACTAGGCCAGGACAAGACGCATTCTTTTTTTTTTACGTTTCTTGGCTGCCATACAAAGATGACACCACGCTCTGCTCCCGAGAGATGCGGGGGAGGGGGAGGAATGTTGCGCGCGCGCGTGTGTTTTCATTCATCTCACTTCCCCCCTTAGGCCGTTGTGATTCTTGGGGCCAATGGAGCTGATGGATTCCTGGCCCTTGGCTCGGTCACACCCGCGCTGCATTTTTTTTCCCCCGTGTATTTCAGACTCCTCGCAGTTGTGTGAGCGCTTCGGGCAACCAAACCTAAGGTTAGGTCAGTTGCTATTATCTGGGGCAGTCCTAGTGATATGATCAGCCGCAACTTTCTATTTTTGTCAATCACAGGCACCCGTGCACAAGCAAAGCTCCTATTTCTTATTCCGAAGCATACTTTAAAAGTTCAAAATAGGCTTATAATAGTTGTTCTCACTGGTTCAAATTTTAACTGACCTAATAATATTTTCCTAGTGGCAATAATTTCAGATATCTCTAATGGGAATTGACTGGTTTTTTTTCATGATCGCAATTAAAGTCTGCAGGATTCTGCTTATTTAAAAATGCTTTGATTTCTAAATGTGCTGCATTTATTTTATGAAGAACAAGAATCCAATGGCCTTTTATTTTACTCTGGCATCAGCTTTCCTTTATTCTGTTGTACCCTTTAATCTTAATCATATCTGCCTAACAGGCTTTGTCAAACTAAAGATGCAGCGTTAAGGAATTCCAGCAAGATTTATTTTTACATCTTTCCCATTCATGGTAATCTTAAATTTATTTTATTCTGCTTCATCTGCAGAATTTATACATGGGGGGGGTTCTGTTCCAGGGAAACTACCGATATATATCAATTAAATTACCAACAACTTAGCTTGATTTGGATTTTTTTACTTCCTTCACCTTAATTCATTTATATTTCCTAAATTCACAGACTCTATTACGTTTATTATCTTTACCCTGGCTTCACTATATCACAGCATATCAATATGAATTTAAATTGCTAACAACAACAAAAGGGAAAAGCCAACAAATCTGCCTCACTTTTAGATACAACCTGACTTATCTTACTATCTAAGGTAATTTGAAAGGCATTTTTCTCAGTTTTTAATAAATAGCTGGTTTGTTTACATATTAAAAATCAGGAGAAATTGAGGATAATCAGCAAAGAAAAATCCTCATTTTTCATTTATTATGAGCAGTTATGACTTAAAAAAGAAATTGCAGCTACTCATAAAACTGAAGTGATTAGAGTGGGATGGCAATACCATTAATATATGTTTAGAATAAGTCTCCTTGAATTTAATGGAATATCAAAATATGCTCAGTAAAGAGCTGCAATTTTACAGCATTCTCGCTTTTCTGCTATTTCTGCTTCTTTCAACTTTTCTATTTCAAGGCTGCTAATGTTATGCAGAAGATGAAAGGAATAACAGGATATCACTGATCTGACCATCACATTAAATGATAAGCAAGACAATTTTCTGCATCACTTGGCAATGTTTATATTTTTGCAAACCTGCCTTATTTATTGATACTTTAGTTACAGCATTAAATAAAGTATCAGCGTATAACATTGCCCTAAATATATTACATGGATTGCCCTCTTTTAGTTGCAAAATAATCATCACATACATTGTAAGTTTTTTAAAAGCTGCTGTACAAAGTAGAGATGTGCAGGCCTCTTTACACCCCACCCCCATCCTGCCTCCTCAGATCATCCACTATTAAAGCTTGTACTTTGCATGTAGGGTATCTTGGCTAAAGTTTTGCTGTCCTTGAAAGTCTTAAGTGAATGTTTCTAAATAGATGATGGAAGACAAGGAAAGGAAAACAATAAGTGTAATTTCCTACAGAAAGCATTACTGAACATTGATTAACATAGCAATTTGTCATTTGAATATTCTCCAATATAATGCATAGCACAAATCTTTTTTTTTTGAACTTGCAACATAATAATTTTCTTGTAAATCACTTTTGTATATGTGTGCACCAGCATGCAAAGCAGGAAGAAAATTCTGTAAATGGAAAATAATACTTAAAACCACATAGCATTCTTTTAAAGTGTCTTTTAGCCTTTCAAAGAAAATTACTTGGAAATTAGAAATATGATATTGTTTATTATCATGAGTTAGAAGCATCAATCTCAATAAAATCTTTTTAAAATATTAGATTGCTGAGATCCTATTAACGTTTGCATGTACACAAGCACATTATGCACACTTACTACAAAATAAGTCCTATTTAGCAGAAATTTCTGAGTATGCATAGGATTGTACTGCCAGTTCCGTGACTGGGGGATTAAATCCATTTACATCTAAATGTTTCCATATGAAGTCTAGTCCTGTGCATATTGACTCAGAAGTAAATCCTACTACGTTAAGTCCTACAGTATTTTCAAGTACATATACTACATAGCATTACTTCCTGTATTTATGTGAACAGTAATTCCATAATCCTAATTTCTAGATATTATCATTATTTTACACCAACAAGATAATGGTCCAAATGAGATTGTAATCTTAAAATACTGTGGTACTTTAGATATTAACTGATTTCTTATTTATTTATATTTCTTTTCTACATCAAATCCACATATATACTGTATGGTTTTTAATTGAGATCAACACAAAAACAATCACTTTGCTACAGAGTAGCCCCAGTGTCACCAGGACAATGTTCTTAAACAAGTCATTCTTTTCTAAAGAGGACTATTTACAAAGACTGAATGCAGAAAAAAATTAGGATAGATAGATGTACAAGAGACCTAAAGAAATTGGGATTTGAGGCACAAAAGAGAGTGACCATCAGGGATAATGACGACTGGGAACTTACAGAATTAATAATACAAAAGAAATGCAATATTTGTTCCTGAACAGTGAGCATTGCCAAGATAAAAATATACTGTAATCAGTGAATCTAAGGAATATTGTAAGAAATTATCTGTATTTTTTTTCTAATTTAAAAATAAATTAGAAACATTGGTAAGTTTCATAGGTCTTTAAATGCCACAACTCACATTTTTTGCAAATACAATCAGTTAAATTAAAATCTAATCCTTGGCAAAATGTATGATGTCAACTGTAATATACATCAAAACAAAAACAAAAAATTTAAAGTTTTTTGTTTCATGTAGTTCAAATACATGTCACTGTTAATATACAGCAAAGGGATATTTAAGAATCAGTTAAAACACTGGATATAAATCAAAGGACACTATATTATTATTAATAAATTATAATATTATTTTAAATAAGATACTAATGATTTTAGCTTTAGTGATGAAAAATGAACTGACCATGATCACTAGTTTATAACTGCAGGAAACTTGATGGCAAGTTGTAGGTAAGTCTCTTGGTGGTTTTGGAAAACAATACATTTTGAGGAAACCATTGAAATGCAAAATAGAAAACAGAAAGGCTTTATTACAAAGAGGTACATAGAGCAAGCCATTAACATCCATATGATATGAATGTATAAACCTTTTACATCCCGTTTCTAAGCATAGTCCTTGGGAGTAAGATTGACTGAAATCAATGTTAATTACTTTGAAGTTATATTTTTAGAATTGGAAGTGTTAGATTGTGTTTTTAAGGATTCAGTTGTTATAAATGCTAGTACAATATGGAGGAATGCTTCTGAAAATTCATTTTATATTGATTTACTCAGAAGAATATTAATACTGGAAAAAGAACTATCGCAACTTTATATTTTGTGATTTGTAAGCAATTGTTTTCTTAAAATTAAATTACAGAAAAGCAAAATTTAAAATATGTAAAACTTGAAATATGCATACTTTCTGTACTTTATCATTTCAAGTGATAGTTTATATGCAAATCCTCTACCTTTCAAGGAATTCCATGTGATTTCTTAGGCATGCATAAGACTGCTGTTAAAGGTATACACATACAAATGTTTTAATAAAAATAGTATCTCTATTTACTTTTATTTTTAAAGTGACTAAGCATTATGAAAAGAAACCATTAAGTTCAGTGAAGTAAAATTAAAAGAGTATTTGCCTTTTTAATATTTAAAAAACAAATACTATTAACTAAAATGTGATTAAAGTAATTTTTTTGTGGGTTATCTTAAAATAGAATCAATATCACCTCCTCTGATTAACAGAGAACCTATACTGCATAATTACCTTTCTCACAAATATATGAAGTAATTTTAGTCCATACTGTGCACTATAAATAGTAAAACAAATATAGAAAATGATTTCTTGCAACAGTTTCTTTTTTACCTTGTACTACAAAATAATTAGAAAGATTAATGAGAAGAAAAATAGAAAATTGTGTCGGAACTATTTCTTTTTGGAGGTGTGGAAGTGGGAGTTTTTCATTAAGACCCTTTTTAACAACTTTTGCCATGATTTTCAGAATAAATCAGTGTAAAAATTTATTTTTTTATTTACATGGGCATTGGAAGTTATGTAACACAAGACATATCAAAAATACTTGTAGAAACATGCTTACAAAGTATGGATGCTGTTAATGTTTATATAAATGTATTACATTCTCTTTGCCTTCCTTATGTTTACTGAACTTGAAAATAGTATTAATAGAAATAAAAGTTAATGATGCTTTGTTTAATCCTAGAAAATGAAAATATAATAGCTGTTTTAAACAATATATGACACTTGTGTTATGACCCGTGTACATTAATATGTTTTAGATGTTGCTCTATTGAAACTAAAAGAAATCTATATAGGCATGGAATCATTAATTATCTCAAGTTTTAAGATATATATTCTGCCATTACAGAAAACTCCATGTTGATTCTGTCAAGTGTACTTCAAGGTAGATTACTTTCTATCTGATTTTGCTAAACTTAATTGCAGGTAAATATGCTTTTGAATCTGAGTAAAGTTATATTAAAAAATTTAAAAGAAAATACCAAACCTGTCAGGAAGTTCTGTGATGTAACTTAGATTTCATATATATCTTTAACATATTTATATATACAAAATCATGTCAGTTGGCTATTCTATTAATGTTAAATATAAACTTATTTAAAACTATGACTGTTAAAATCCCTTAAACTATACCAGTTAAAACACTAATTTAACTGGAAAATTGTTTTTAAAGCACCCATTATATTGTTTTAAATTGCTCTATCACCTCAGGAGGCGTTTGGCAAATGCCACTTAACTAGAAGCACCAGTGGATGAAATAGTTGTTCTCAAGTACTCTTTCTATTACATTAATTCTAGTATTTAATTATTACTTCTGCCCTGTAATTTTATATATACAGTATATCTGTGAAAAGGGATTGCAGTTTTGTATTAAAATCTTTATGTTCAAATATAATTTCTAAATAAATAAATTATAGCAGAACTTTTCCTTTAAAGCAATATGAACTTTTTTACAGGAGTCTAAAGGAA